AAAAAAAAAAAGAAATCACATTTGCCTGCAGTGTGAATGTAGACCTGGTAGCTTAAATTTCACTGCTATTTCTGTTTTTATTATCGACATTACATGATTAAATATGTAGAATTGTATTTTTTCTTTAAATATGGAAACAGATCTGACTTTTTTTACTTTAATTCATGCTCTATTTATGATTGCAGGCCGGATTTACCTCTCCCAAATTCCCATTCTTCTGCATCTTCTGACAGAGGCGCTAAGAAAGGAAGACAAAGACTCGCTGACTTGGGAAAATGTACTAGTCGCCCTGCAGAAACTCAGCCTTAGGTAGATTTTAGCAGTCTTTCTGCAAAGCTTACATCATAATAAAGGTTCTGGTTTGATGTAATCACCCGCACCTTTTGGATCATTGTTACACAATAAACATGCAACAAAAAACCCCTATTATGGATCAATTTACTTCTTATAACTTTATCTAAAGAAATAGTCTAAAGGCTCGCTTTAATCACCTGTACAGTTTGCAAATAACAACATTCATCATGATCCTCATTCAGGCTGTTTAAGTTATTTCTCTCCTTTAAATATGAGCAAATTTTGGCTTGACGTTTGTCATGTTCCCTGTAAAACAAAGCCCTGCTGCCACTGCCTTTCTTTTGTTTTATATTACGATAACACACCTGCTCAGCAGACCAGTATTTCCCCTTCACAGTTCATTGTAGAACCCAGTATCGATGGATCAACCTGAACTACCAATTATGTTTTGAGCCTCTGGGTTGCTTTTTGTGCTGCAAAGAAAAAGCAGAGTTAAGTATGATCAGTAAGACTGAAATGGCTTGAACTGCAAATAAATATCAATGTCCATTTATTGCCTCTAGAGGTAAATAAAGCTCTACTAGTTGTTTTTGAGTTTTTGAACTTTTATTTCTTTTAAAAGTATTGCTGGTACAATGAAAGATGCCAACACAAAAGGTACTTTTTTTTCTTCTTTTGAATATCTTTATAAACGAGTATCTTTAATATTAGCTGATAAAAGCTTGAATAGAAATATGGAGAAATAAAAATAAGAAATTTGTAAAATCAGTAGCGGAATAACAAACTGGCGTCATTAAATCTATTAAACAGATAATCTTGGTGTCAATATCAATCTGGTCAAAATGTGATTTGATTAGAGTTTAGGATCTGCTTATGAGAATTGGTGAAGTTTTCTGTGTGCTCTTGTTAGGAGGAGACAGCAGACGGCCATGATCGCAGATGATCTTATCGGCTGGCTTGTGGATAAGCTGCAGGACTCAGACTGCCTCAGTGACTACACCCTGGAGTATTCTGCAGCTCTGCTTATGAACCTGTGTCTGAGGACCAAAGGTAAAAGAATCAAAAACATGTTAGGATACAGATATTCATGAATGTTCTTTTAACATCACCATCACCTAAACCCATCTTACGACTAAAACTGAATAATACACTATACTACATGGTGCAACATCATGTATCTAAACATGATGTTGCACCAATTTTACGATAAGTCATTTTAGCTAAATGTTGGTGTTTTTTTTTTTTTTTTTGTTGAATCGACTCCTCTTCTTTTCTTGTTCTCACTGCTGCAGTTCAGATGTTAATCTTTAAATGACCTGTACAGGGGTTTAAGCAGTAATTGAAAACAGTACCCAGGAAAACACCTGATAGAGCCCACTGTTACTTCTCACTATAAAGGCGTCTAGCTTCCATTCATTGTCTCTGAGTTTTATCCAGCGGGTAAAAGTCAATCTAATGTTTATTCCCTTCCATCTTTTCGATTACTTTTCCTTATTTCCTGTTACAGTGTTGTCTTGGGTCTCTTAACTGCAGCTGTCAGTGTGTATTATTGTGACATCACTTTATTTCTTCAGTGTTTTCCACTAAAATAAGAGTTTATATTTCAGTAAAATGGTTTTATAGGTTTTCACCCAACATATTCAGAGATTAGTACATTTGAACTTCTTCTCTGTGTTTTCCATTAAAAAAATTCTTCGAAAAACACATTAAAACATAATTTGGTGCAAGATCCACCAGAATCAACATGTCTCTTTTAATTGACTGTAGGAAAAAGGAAGTGTGCAGAGAACGCCAAGCATGTGCTCAAAGTTTTGACTGATCTCCTCGGACATGAAAACCATGAGGTGAGTTACACGTCTGTCAACACTTTGTTAGCGCGTGTAAGGGACCAACATAAATGTAGACAGTGAATGAAGGAGTCAAAAGGGCATTTAAAGGTTTTATTCTGCCATTTCTTGTGAATAGATTGTGGTAAAAGCTTCAGGGAGAGCCAAGGCCAAAATAACAAACAAAACAACCCTAAAGAAAAAAAGAAAAGTGGACTTACCTAACTCAATATGAAACCAAAATATAAAAACCTACAAAATAACCTACCTAACCACCACATAAACAGGAGAAAACTGGGGTTAAACAAATAGACAGCTCTCCAAACAAAAAGATCCAAACAGGTCTACTTAACAGCCCATTAGCTTCTACAAGGATCACAGAGGTGTATGGCAGACAAATGGCTCAGAGGCCCTGAAGTACTGCTTCACAGGCCTTATATAGTCTTCAGGTGATCTTTATTGGACAGACTCAGTAGCCAGCAGCCATTCTTAAAGGTGGAGCCTAAAACAGAGCAAGGTGTTAATTGAATGCAAAAACAAAGACATCCAACTTGGGGATGTAACAACATGGACACAGGTCGCAAAAATATATACAGAGCACATTATATTGCAGCACATAACTGATGCTTTATGGCTTTCATTTAAATCAATAGATAATCCTCTCTAACAGTGGATTCGTTGAACCTGTCTTTATAGCAGAACTCAGGCCTGACTACACTTAACTAAACAGAATCTTGATAAAATCACTTTAAAGCTTGTTTGTTTCCCACTTATCAGTTTTATTCTACATAGAATGTTTTTTCAGTTTCATCCCATAGATGCCAACTCTAATCCATCGAAAACCTCACAGAAAGATGTTTCATTTGTTTGTTCTTTTGCCTCCCCCAGGTTCGGCCATATGTGAATGGAGCTCTGTACAGTATCCTGTGTATTCCCTCAGTGCGACAGGAAGCTAAAGAGATGGTGAGATGACAGAAATGCCATCATCATGTTGGAGAAAACAAACATGTTTTTGTTTTTTATTCATTGCCCGTCTCCTCCCCTCCATCCATACATGGACAGTGTGGATGATGCGTGGTTTACTTTTTGACTTCAAAAACTATGGAAATGAAAATATATAGTTTTTCCATTTTAGGTAATGCCGTGGCTCGCAAAGATATTCATACCCTTTTAACTTTCACACTTTTTGTCACGTTACAACTTCATCCATAAATATGTTTTATTGAACTTTGATGTGAAATACCAACACAAAGTGGTAACAGTTGTGAAACAGAAAATTATTGATTTCTTTTTTTTTCTTTTTACAAAATAAAAAACTGAAAAGAGCATTGCTTAAAAGTATTTAGTCCCTCTGAGTCAACAGTTTAACCTTTAACATGTGTCTACCAGCTTTGCTCTTCCATTTGGTCCATTCTTCTTTGCAAAGCAGCTCAAGCTCAGTCAGATTAGATGGAAAGCCTTTGTCAACAGCAGTTTCCGGATCTTGTACTCTGGATTCTGGATATGTCTGGACTTTGACTGGTCCATTCGTGACTCATGCACCGTCCTGCAATTGGAAGGGTGGCCGGTTGAAACCCCAACTCCCTTTGTATCAGTTGTTGTGTCCTTTGGCACTTCACTTCCTTGCCTGCTGAAGGTGTTTAGAGGGCCTAGTAGTGCCTGTGTAGCCTCGCTTCTGTCAGTTTACCTCAGGGCAGCTGTAGCTTTCCACCATCAGTGCATTTTTGAATGTAGTATAAAGCAGCGTTCCCCAACCTTTTTTGTGCCACGGACCGATTATATTTCAGACAATATTTTCACGGACCAGCTGTTAAAGTGTGGGGGGGTAAATACGATCAAGTAAAATGATACGGTTGGCATAAAATCAAATACACACAGCATGAAAATAAAATTCACCATTATGTTAAATTAGTAGGAGCCCTGAGCTTGTTGCTCCGAAACAAGCCGGTCCCATCTAGGCGTAATCGGAGACAATGACGCACGAAGTGTGCTCCTGATGTCCAGTCTGCTCCGTAGCTTTGTTTTGGTCGCTGTAACGGCAGAAAATTCCACTTCACAAAGATAGGATGTTATAGATAGGATGCGTGTTGATCTGAATTAACCTGTGTCAAGAGGCACAGATGCACCGACTGATGTAATTGGGAGGGAATACCCCAATTTTTTTAAATATTTTTTAAAATAAAACATCACTTAGACTCTGATCGTCGATAAATTATATATACATATATTTTTTCTGTGCGGCCCGGTACAAAATGATAGAGGGACCGGTACCGGTCCATGGCCCGGTGGTTGGGGACCGCTGGTATAAAGCTTATTGGAGTCTTACTTGATCAGACTCTATATAAGTACATGCCATTGACTTCGGGCAGTGTGAAAACTTCTTGCGGTTTTCTTTCAACAATGGCTCTCTTCTGCTGCTCTTCCATAAAGACCACATTTATGCGATACACAGCTAATAGTTTTCCTGTGCATATACTCCCCCACCTGAGGAGTTGATCGTTGCAGTTCATCAAGAGTCGCCATGAGCCTCTTGGCTGCGTCTATGATCAGAGTTCTCCTTGTTCAGCCTGTACGTTGAGGTGGTCAACCTATTCTTGGTAGGTTTACAGTTGTGCCAGACTGATAGCATTGAACACTGCTACCTGAAATGCTCAAAGCCTGGGAAACCTTTCTCTAGCATAAGTCTGCTTTAAACTTCTCAAAAACATATCCTGGTGACTCCATGATGTTGTTTAATCTCCAATATTTTCTTAACCGACCTCTGAGGCTGTCACAGAGCAGCTGTATTTGCATTTTGATTGGATAACACCCAGGTGGACTCTGTTTAGTCATTAGCAATCATCAGGCAACTTATGAATCCAGTTGGTTACACTCAGAGAAAAGGGGGCTAAATAATTTTGTGCATCAGTTTTTTTATTCTATAATAATGTTTTAAATCATGTAAAATTTGCTTCTACTCCACAGATGTGTCTCACTTTGTGTTTGTCTTTTACGTAAGACTGTGATGTGTCAGAAAGTGAAAAAGTTCAATGGCTATGAATGCTTTTGCACGCCACAGTATATCATACATTTCAGCACTGTTATACACCATGTACTGTATTACGGTTAATACAGCTATTGGTTCCACAAATGTGAAAACGTAGCCATTTATTACTTCATATTCACTCTGTTTGAATGCTTACTTGATTTTACTAAAGCTCAAATGAACTGTTTTCCCTTTTGACTTGCTGTAAATATGTTCAGAGCATAGAGGAGATTCTTCGCTGTTACAACAAAGAGGAAAACCCGGACCTCAACAGACAGATTGAGTTCATCATTAAGCAGCTAAACTCAGGTTAGTTTGCTGGATTCTCTTTTGCTCTACATAAAAAAAAATCAAATACAAAGTTGTTTTTTTTTGCTTTATTGTTGTAACAATTGAAGAAAAGTTTGGAATAATTTTCTGTTTCGAACATAGACAGTGAAGAGGGACCAGAGTCAGATGACGAGGAAGAAGAGGAAGACAATGAAGTAAGGAAGGATTTTTTTTGTTTTTAATAGTTTTTATTTTATCTGTTGACTTCATGCAATATTCTCAGAGAGGCCTGGACAGGAAAGCAGAATAAAACAAAAAAAATATGGGGTCTTTGCATTAAATCACTCTTTTTATTGAATTTAAAGGGGAACGCCGTTTTTTTTTTTTTTTACATTGGGCCCTTGATTTTACGTTATTACATAATGTTCTACTCACCCATATGAGTTTTGTGTCATTTGGAGCTGTTCTGAAGAAATTCTGTTAGGTTATAGCCAAGTAACGTCTTCCTATGGGCAACGAGTTGAAGGCACAACCTGAACTGTTCATAATGTATTTTTTAAGGTACGCCAGCATTTATAACATGTAGGCGAATCACTGTCCCCCAGACATCCCCGGTTATGTTTTTTATATTTATATTTTTTTTAAACAAAGTGAAGTGTGTATGATGTCTTTCTTTACTATTATGGTTTTACATTAACAATATTTCAAATAGGAAGGTGTTGCCCTTTTAGCATCAGTCATATTGAGGTGGGGTCACAGTCCTCCAGCGTGGCCAGACTGACTGACTTGTGCTGTAGACGGGGTGTATCTGGGAAAGGAGCAGGTAGTGTCCAATTTAAAAGGCAGGAACTGGTTGGAACAAGACCTATTTGGCTCTTTGTTCCATTGTGGCTGCAATCTTAACTGCTATGGTTACAGAAAGGCACCAATGCACTATGGGTAATTCTGGCGTGAGCGTAAAGCCCCGCCTATAGCACTGTGATAGGTCTGTTCTGTTTTAGAACACCACCAGACTGACTTATGGTCCACTTGTAATAGATGCGTGACAAAATCTCCTCAACCCCAGAATTCTTTACACATCTAAAGAATCCAATACAGCACTGTTAACATGTAAACTAGTCATGTGGAGGTCACTTATGTGATTTATGTAAATTTATTTTCCCCCTTCTCAGTGACAGTTTGTGTATCATCTGCTGTTATCTTATAAATCTTTACAGGAGGATTTAATGGAAATGGAACTTGATAAAGAGGAAGTCCTCCAGCCGCAACAGCGAGAGCTGTCTGGGGAGTCTCTGCTCACCACCGAGTATCTTGGGGTAAGAAAATGGTCCTTCAGAAAATCTAAACCAATTATTCACATTTTTAAAAGTTTTTCAAAGGCTAAAACAATTAATCGGATTAATCGTGATTAAATGTTTATTGAAATAATCATCAACTAATTTAGTAATCGATTAAGGGAGTGGCGACCTAGTGGTTAGGGCATAGAGCTTGGAATCCTGAGGTTCTGAGTTCGAGCCCCTCTCCCACAGACTCTGGGTCTCTGAGCAAGACCCTTAACCCCACAGTTTTCTCCGAGCGCCACACAATGGCAGCCCACTGCTTCCCAAGGGGATGGGTTAAATGCAGAGAGTTACTTCATTGTTCTGTACTTGTGACAGTGTAATGACAATAAAAGCTCGGTTAAAAAAAATAAAAAGTGAATCGTTAGCCAGAATGTAGAGACTATAAAACATGTCTTTAGCTGACAGAGCGACCCAGTAATTGTACCATTATTGTAAAAAATTTTTATAAACATTTTACATTTAGTGGTCGTTATAGCAAATTCTGTTAACTGACCGTTCGGACAGATTGTCATTTGTTTTCCCTTGGTTACATAACTCCTCCTCCGCTGCTCAGTGCCTGCGCCATCTTTGTTATTGCGAGGAGAGCTCTCCACGCAAAGCATTCTGGGATATATCTGCCTCTTCTGGGGCCTTTCTTTTCTTCTCATACTCTTCTTAGACACATTTTCTCTTACGACCCTCAGCCATTTTCAAAAAAACCACAGTGAGAAAGATGAGCTTTAAAGGAATAGTACACCCAAAACATGATTAGTCTTCATTTTCTATTCACCCCCATGCTGAACAACACTCTGGAGTACTTATAAATGCATCTGGAGATCTGGGAGGCTTCTTACTGTCTGCTGACATTCAAATAATGGAGGTCTATGGTGCCCGAGGCAGAAAGGTCCATAAAAGTCCACAAAAAACGTGTCAATGGGGGTGTAGTGTAGATGAAACCAGATGAAAGTGCGCATTCAGCTCGGCAAAGAACTCATGTCTTCCTCAACACTGAAGTCCTCAGACATTTTTCTTTCGTTGTTTCTTTCTTTGCACAGGTAAACAGCACATTTCTTCTTCTACGCTTGCATTATCGGCAGAGCAGACGCTGAATGCGCACTTTCATCGGGCTTGGTCTGCCGCAGTTTCCGTAGGCTCGTGAACTCGCAGGCGCGCGCTTTTAGGAAATCCTATACACTACTGTTTATGCTCTAAAAACATTTTAAATGACTTTGTATCGAGTAAATTATGGATGCTACCCACTAAGGACACTTGGAATACATTGGACGAGCAGTCCAAAGCAGTTTTTGTGGACTTTCATGGACCTTTCTGCCTCGGGCACCATAGACCTCCATTATTTGAATGTCAGCAGACAGCAAGAAGCCTCCCAGATCTCCAGATGCATTTGAGATATCAAAAAAGTACTCTAGAGTGTTGTTCAGCATGGGGTGAGTAGAAAATGAAGGCTAATCATGTTTTGGGTGTACTATTCCTTTAATGTGCACAAGGAAATATAAGGAATAAGGAATAGTTGTATTAACTATACATGTAAACAGAGTTTTATGGGGCTCCCAGGAACTTGGGGGCCATAGGCAGTTGCCTAGTATTGCCTAATACTAAATCCCAAATGAGTTTCTAACCCCGATAAGAGCTCCGGTTCCCAATTAAAGTAAATGTCCATGTTGGCCTCAGTGAAATTCTCAAGCTTATTACTTTAATACCTTTACACAGTGTTTGGAGAAAAAGAAAGTCGGTTATTTTGCTGTGAAAAAAACAAGTCCTGAAAGATTATGGTGCATTGCAGGACGAAGGGGTAAGGCTACAAACTCTATTCCATAAAAGCAGCTCAATTATAAAACTCACTGACGGTCAAGGATTAAATATAAAACTGAGCGACAAGTCATCTCTTAATACTGTCATTTTTTATGCTGTAGATCATGACAAACATGATGAAAGTGAAGAGGAATTCAACACCTTTGCCACACCCAAGCGTTGATGAGCCCTTACAGCGGCCAGTCACCCCTAGTTCTCATCGAAACGCCAATACTGGGTAAGTCCAGTACTTACTGCCAAGGGCTGCTTTCTTAATGCCTTTTACATCTTTTATAGTTATTTTTATATGAAAAGCTTTTATTTAACCTTAGGAACACATCTTTAAAATAGTTTCCCGTTTTAAGTGTATAATTTGGTTAATTTACCTGAATCCTTGGTTCTTTTTTTTTTTTTTATCTGATGGCCGATCAGTTTACAACAGCACAATCATCTTGGAATCTTATCAGTGGGATAGTTTCTTTGTTTTGAATATTTTATTCAACTACAGGGGTAATAAAGCTTCTGCTAGTTGTGAAAGAGGGGAAGTAGGTCAAAGCACAACATTTTAAAGCCTGAATTGCTTTGTAATAGGTCAACATGTCTCTGGTCTTAAAACCTGACTGTAGACACCAACATTGCCTCAAAAACATGGCATAACAGGATGTTGTTCTATTCTTTTCAGAATTTTATATGACTTTATTTTGCTATTTAGAAACTGGAAAAATACATAGAAAAGTGGATCTAAGTAAGCTATAGGACTAGAAAATGTTTAGTTTTTGTGTCACTAAAAACTCCACTTATTTGTTTTTTGTTTTTACAATCTAGAATGTGTGATTTTCTTTGTAATTTAATTGTGTTATTCATAGTGAAAATCGATCCAACATTCAATGCGAGAGTAGCCAGAACAGGGAATACCCCCTACACAGGCAGAAGAGCGAGGAAGGAAGCCTGATCCCTACCCGATACAACTCTCGCCCTCCCACTCGTTCCGGCAGCCGGCCCAGCACTGCCGACTCTTTGCGTCACAGCGTTGGTTTGTATATTCTTTCTTTTTGCTCTACTCTCATTTACTAATTATTTGATCATTATAATAACATTCCCACTCCAGGGAATGGTGTGAATTTGGTGGCATCACCTCATAGTCCCTCAAAGAACTTTCTTATGTATTTTGAGGGAAGAATGAATTCTCAAATAATCTTTGCTACGTATCAGATGTATTTAAGTGATACGCCGTGTCTTTAGGGAACACAAGGCACTTACAGGCAAGGAAATTGTAGCAGATTCCTCAGAACTTCTCCAGTGATAGATTGATCGGCAAGACCAGCATCGAATGACTAATGAGCTTTTTTTCTCCCATTGAGAAAAAAAAAAAAAAGCTGTCAAGCATTAGATTGTGTTGTTATATCCGGAATACTTAAGACAGATTTTTCAATAAACGTTTCATGAAGCTCTCACTGTTTTCCGTCTCTCATCATTCAGACTCAGAATGTGGACAGTTCTACCAGAGTTCTGAGCTAGACGGGATGTATGAAGATCAAGCAAGGAAAGAAAGGTCCCAGGAGGAACACAATGGACCTTCTCCCAGGTAAATGATGCACACTGTTGACTCCATACAGATTCAGGGGTTCTATGTCCATCCATTATAAGTAACGATGCATCAAAACAGCATTTTTTTTATCATTCTAAATCTCCCAATCCTCAGACTGCCCAGCTTGTGCTAAAACAACTTAATCTGATCTATCTTCTTTAATCCTAACTTTCTTTGGTATTCACATTGACTGGTATGAATCCAAACAAATGTGGTAACACAATAAAGTAAATTTCTTATACTAGGGTTTTCCTGGTCTGATATGAATATCGGAAATCAGTCCGATATTCGCCAAAAATCTAATATTAGGATTAGGATTATATCGACCTGCGTCTAAAATATCAGATATTGTAAGGAAGCACTCTGCCTCTGCTTAAAGTTTCTGTAACTCATTGGTACATACCTTTTGTTGTTGAATATTGTTCTGTATTGTATTAAAATCACCTTTCTGATATTCTACAGTACACATTAATTAATAAAAGTGTGTATTATTCATGCTGATATCAAATCTGGTCAATATCTGTATTAGTCTATTCTCTAAGCTGCGATTTTGGTTTCATATGGGAAATAAAAAGTTCTATTTACTGTCATTTCTGTGTCAATAAGAAATATTAAAAGGCAAAAACAAACTCATTGTATGGATGTAGTTTACTTGATGATGGGTGTTAAAGGAGAATTCCGGTTTTTAACACTTTTAGCCCATTTTCTGTAGTGTCCAGGATGAAATCGAATGATCGACACCAACATTTTGACAATTGGTCCTGTCTCTGCTTTTTGGCTCATGCAGAATCCCCCCTGGCTGCTTCAGAATGGCTTCCATTGTGCATGTCCGATAATGTCCTTAAAACAACCTTAAACATTCTTTTTTTTTAAATATGCTACTCACCGGGTCGTCAGCGCTGTTCAATGACGTTCCAAAAAAAGTTTCGTGAAGAAAAACCGTTCCTGTCTTGTTTTATTTAGCATTTTGTAAATCCCAGAACTATTTTTTCCGATACATCACAACCGCTTATAAACTTCCGCTTCCCGTTTGAATCTGAAGCGTTGCACACTCCAGACCACTAGTTGGCGACAATGTCTCTATATACTCCTCCTCAGTATATTCCGGTTCAAAACGGTATCCTCTACCGTCAAACTCAAAGTCCAATATGTCCTCCTCAAGAATCCACCTTTCGTATTCCATTTTCAGAGTTTTTTAAAGTGTTTAACAGAGACGTTAGCACCTCGACGTCGGAGTACACAGAGTGAAGCGAAAAGACTACAACTAAGTGTAAACAGGCCCCATTTCCGTTTCCGGTGGCGGAGGGATATTGACTATTCCAACAGAACTCAATGGGATTTACAAAATGCTAAATAAAACACTACAGGAACGTTTTTTCTTTACGAAACTTTTTTTGGAACGTCATTGAACAGCGCTGACGACCCGGTGAGTAGCATATTTTAAAAAAAGAACGTTTAAGGTTGTTTTAAGGACATTATCGGACATGCACAATGGAAGCCATTCTGAAGCAGCCAGGGGGGGATTCTGCATGAGCCAAAAAGCAGAGACAGGAGCAATTGTCAAAATTTTGGTGTCGATCATTCGATTTCATCCTGGACACTACAGAAAATGGGCTAAAAGTGTTAAAAACCGGAATTCTCCTTTAATGTCCAAAGTTTTGTCTGACCTTTTTTAAGCTTTTATTATAATTACAGCACCCACCACAATCATTGGAACACCTGCAATAGATGTGGAAAAAGTATTGAATAAAATTCTTGGTTTGTTTAATTCAGCTTTAAAGATTTGCAGTTAAGTAACACCAGGGACCCAAAAAAGAAATGACCTATTTTCATTTTACACCATCCAAGCACTTTGTCTGCACTGATGAAAGTTAATTCACTAAGGCCTGCTTGGAACAGCTCCAGCTTCTTGCCAAACATGCTTTCTGGTTAATTCAACTGATAATTATTTGACCTCTTGGAGATTTAGGTTCGATCCCCAGATGGTCAGTTGTTTTCACGTTAAAAACAAGCTTAACAGCAAATATAGAGACTTGATTTTTCTCTTAATTTCTTCTTCTCAAAAAAACAGGAAACAATGCAACAACGGCATACCAAATAAACAGATAAATGCTGATCTATGCTATTGAAATGAAAGCAGCATTTACCTGCAAGGTTCATACAGATCTTTACCTAAGGTGTAAATAAATCTATACATATCTGTATAGATACGTAGTGCTTTCTGTTAGGGGTTGATCCTGATCAATCAAAGCAGCAGAGGTTTGAAGGACACCCTGTCCGCCCTGCCATATGTTTCTAAAAGTGTTTGTCTGCAGAGAGGGTTGGGAACAGTCCTGAACTAAATGGGTGAGTCAGCACTGCCAAGCTGATGTGTTTGCGTCTCTGACAAGTGTTTAAACCAGCAGCAGCCACAAAGGGACCCATTCACTTCCACGTCCTATGCTTCTTCTCTCCTCTAAATCCTAGAGGAACTTGACTCCAATATGCAGAAAGGAGTCCCAAGAAGCCCTCCTTCCCCCATGCTCGTGGAATGTAAAACACCTCCACAATGCAACCTGGCTTAGGCTGAACAGAACAACCCAACTTTATTAGTCTGGATGTCAAGTCCTTTATGCCGAGTTGAAAAAAAAGCATTCAGGTTGGGGAGAATAGAACCTTAGCAACGCAGCTATTTGGCAAACCAAGGTACCATTTTACTATTGTGTCTACGCCAATAAACACATTTGGCTCTTTCTTGTTAAAATGGATGTTTTAACTTGGATTAGGTCATGTCTTTGGAAAAAGACTGTTTCCATTTTTTTCCTCTTGCTATTGACCGTATTCGTCCCTTTCAAGGTTGGGAAGCAATCAATGCTGCATCTGTGCCTATTTTACGTAGCTGCGGAGCAGATGGCATAAATTGCATCTCCACCTACGTTCAGAGATAATATTACTGTCCACAACAAGCAGCTATAGCAGATCATATCAGGGATGGTGGCGACAGTGTGATTTTTGAGAGTAGAAACCTGCATGAAATCTATCTATTAGATAGGGTGTAGGATTTCAGCCCAGGATGTAGGCCATTTCTCTACTGTCTGATAAGGTCCATGGGAGAGTGCTGTGTAACCGGATGCAGAGAAATGGGTTTTCATTGTGCTGACATTTTTTTGAGCCATATCTTCAGGGGCTTAATAGACTAAATATTTTGATATTTAAGAAATAATGATAACACAGTGGTAAAATAGGTGACATTCATAGTTTTGTTGCAAAAACAGTTAGCCGTAACAGAGGCTTTTTTTTTTATTGTTGCTTCCAAACTAATCTTTGTCCCTTAGAAGTACAGAACTAACAGCAGTGTTTAGACTTTTCTAATCTGCTTCACTTATTCTATCTATTACGATAAGACTAAAAATAACAAATGTTCTGGATAGCCAGAGTAGTTTAGGGCCCTGTACTCCCCTTTCCTGTTGATCTGGCTCCATATTGACGCACTCCTTTGTTCCTTCCTTCTTTAACACAGCACAGATTATTTACACCTGCCAATGTGTTGCAGGATGTCCGTCTGCATAACAGGGATATTTTTTTTTTTGGTGCATCTCTGAGCTAAACCAGAAACTGACCCTGGAAATAGGGATTGGTGCCCCAGCATTGGAGATGTAGCATGTACATACAATATTTTCTTAAATGTTCCCCAAAAATGTCAAAGTTGACTGGAAAAGAGTGTGTTTTCACTGAAGCAATCAAAGAAGCAAGAAAACAAGGATACACCTGACTGTATTGTAGTTGGTTTCCCCTACTGCAGGGTCATTTTTCCATTTCCAGTAAGAACAAGCAGTTTCATCCTTCCGGCTAAAAACACAAGTAGATTATAGGTTTCTTTTTCATTGGGAAAATACTTATGTTTTAAAATACCCTTTAAGCTTGATTGAAATTGATTCAGTTAAACATCAAGTGCAAGAATTTGTGTAAAGTTGGTCTTGTATACAGTGATGACTTGTTTTAAATGTGTTGTTAGCGGATTCAGGTCTGTCTTTAGCCCTGTCTGATCATGACCATATCCCTTAGGACACATGTTGTTGCCAGCTGTGAATGGGTCCTTTGTAAGCCTTCCCGGATTAATAATTACCTCCCCCCCCCCCCATCTCTTCTGAAATTTCTTTAGATTGGGAAATCTTTTTTTTTTTCAGATCTTTTGGCCTGCATATCTGATTTTGTAGATCAGATAGTAATTTAACACTTATTTCCATGAAATTGAACTCAGTTGTACAGAAAATGTGGTTAATCAAAGATTTTCCATTATTTATTAAGGGAAAAAGTTGCTGTTTTATATGCTTTTAGGTTGGGTAAGAAATTATTTTATATAATAATTATTTTATCTTGTTTTTTTTATTATTATTATTACTATTGTTGTTATTATCTAAAGCATCTGTGTGACCAAACACGCAAAACAAATATGTAAGGGGATAATACTATTTCTTAGCTCTCTGCTTGTGGTCTATAATTTTATTTTATTTATTTATTTTTTTTATTTCATACAAAACTACATGTTAGCCACTTAAAATTATAAACATTCTTATGTGTTGACTCATTCAGTTGTATAATTTCTTTAAAGCCAGCTTGTAAGGGGAAGCGAGGCCTGATTGCTGAGCAATTTGAGACGAAAGGTGTTCAGAAACAGTTTGTTTCTCACATTCTGTACAGCAAACAATGCAAACCAAAGCTTTGTCCCGAATGAACAGATTTAACAGAATGTCACAAACAACCTGCATTAAAAAAAAAACAAATGAATTAGTGGCCCAAACTACTCCAAAAAGCCCAGTAAAACAAAAAGGGCAGTGAAATTCTGTGTAGTGAAATCCTTTCCCAGGATCCAGAGGACTCCAGAACATGTTGCTAAATCCTTGTTATCCTACTTGATAAACACAAAGTTATCTTATGAGATGGAGACCAAATTAGCATCAGGAGAGAAAGTTTAATCAATCTTATCATCATACTGAATACTTTGAGAAAATAAAACAAACATTAAAAGAGGCCATTTGGCAACCAGTACTATAATAGCTGCCTAATACCATCAATTACACAATAGCTTTCCCCGTTTTAAATGCAACAAAGATATTAACACAACTTCTTCCCAGTAATGGAAGAATGTGTTTGACATAAGACCATCAGCATGTTTCCAGTACTATTATACGGTCATATTTAAAAAAGAAAATACTGGAAACACAATGTACAACTGCAGCCAATGATTGACAATATATAGAAATGACTTCATTCCTTGGAAATAATTTATTCATCATTTACAGTGATTTGGCTCTTTGCTTATTTTGAAAAATAGGGATGTTATTGATCCATCTCTCCACAGTCTAAACCTGCATATCTCCAGAGGTCACTCACTTGGTACTTTTAAGATAATTTAGTTTTAAAATGACATTGATTTCATCATTATAAATGTATTATTAAGCATTTAATGGAACATTTGAGTATTTAATTTTGCATTTCATAGTTTAACATTATATCTAATATTTGAGTCAATATAAATTTAAAATGTACATTAACATATATTTTTTGTTGATCATGTATTTCGAACACTTAATAAAAAGCAAATATAAGTAAATTAATAAAGTCATAACAAAACAATTTCATGGCAAATGTATTTTTTGTAATGCAACATATATTTATTTCATGATATATCTTTTGCCGTCCATATATCTGAGGGATCATACACTGGAAAAACGATCTAGAAATAAGTAAAAAAAATTCTTCAATTAAGTGTATTTAACCTTAATTTGAGTAGGTAAATTAGACAGTTTGCCAGCAGAATGAGTATTTTTACTCTTAAAGTAAGATAATTAGATAATATGCGCTTGAAATAAGACAATGCAATTGTGTAAATTTTCTTGTTCCATTGGCAAAATGTCTCTTTTACCTCCTCAATCCAAGAACAAAAGCACTTCTTTTAAGAAAAAACGACTTATCTAGATTTAGATTTTTTACAGTGTATTTTATCAATATGTTTATCATGGATGCAAAGCTTTAAGTTTCTCTTCTTGTCCATCCATTAGTGGGAGTTATGTCCTTGGATTTGTGAGCTCCTCTAAGATCCCACGCACACCAGATCCCCCGGTTAACCAAAGCAGTGCTCAGCGGAACCGTGGACTCGCCCTGGCCCCCCAGTTTTCCCAGTCAGAACCCCAGCAGGGCAGCCGGCCTGGAACTGCCAGCTCTACAGGAAGAGTGGGGAGTGGAGGTAAGCGTACGTTACTGGTGAGAAATCGAAACATACCAGCCTGTGTTGGCATTTAGGTTTGTTGTTTTTTTTTACACCTCCACCAAACTTGTGACTTGCTTTAATCTGACATTTAGTCATGATTGGGGTCATGATCCCTTTAGAAACAAAAAAAAAAGCCAGTAATAGATTTTACTCTTAGTTAAAAAGAGGTAAGCACCCTGTATTGGTCTGTGGCCAATTCTGTTGCTATTATTTTTTAAACTTTGGGGTTGAAAATGTGTCTCCAGAAAACATTGCTTGCAAACTAATCTCAGCAAAAAACACATGTTTGGGAAATCTTTGAAAACCAAAAACACAATAAACAACAGAAATATGGAGGTGGTTCAAGTTATTAAACAATCTAAAAATAAAAGCTCTTTGAAAAATTGAAAAAAACTGTTTTCACATTTGAAAGGTTTTATTCCTGTTACCTCCTAAAATACAGATTGTAGACACAATTACGACGGGCTGTCTTTGCTTGAGCACATAATAAAACGAGGTAGACCTACAAAATGCCGGTTTACCTCTGAACTCTTATTGGAATGAAAGCGTGAATTGCTCTGTGTGTGTGTGTGGTAGGAGCAGTAAAAGCTTTGCCTCAGATGTGGTCTTTTGTTCTTTCAGACCAAAACGTTTGTGCTTCCTGACCCAGTCTCATTCTTACTGTTTCCCCCTCCCCTTTTAGCCTCACACTTTTCTCTCTGCAATTCACAGAGTGGTTACCTGAATGCTACTTTTTTAGCACAACAAACGTAGAAATTACGGTAAACTGCCCCAGTTTCCTCTGTTTTCCCAGTCCTTTATGTCTTCAGTTACAGTTTTCACTCAAAGTCTGAAACAAAATCTTGGATTATATTGTTTGAAAGCTTATACATGATCTTTTGTTGCAGCACTTTTCAGTTCTGTGGCTGTGACAATACTAAGGTTAAAGAAAGTAGAGCCATAGTTCTCTCATAGTAATTAGACTTGGGTTTACTTGGTAATCGAACCTATTTGAAATTTGAATCTTCTGGTTTCAGAAAAGCTTTTTTATATATAAGTTCAGGGAAATTCTGTAATCAGAGCATCAGAGTGACTGTCTACCATCGTCATGTTTTAGAAACAGCAAATAGGAATTTCAAATTGGGTTAATTTCAATGTTAAACGAGCAAAGTCAATACTCTGTCCAGCCCAATCAGCATTATTGGCTTTCCATGTCGTATCTCACACAAAGAAGTTGAGTCACAGCAGAGGGGATCTGGTGCTCTTAAGCTCATCGATAGCATCTCTCCCTGCTCTCAAGCATCTTAACTGCATTTTATAAACGATTACCTCCGGCTCTTCCGCCGGGTGACTCCTACCATGAAGCCTGTAATGGCACCTAATGGTCACTCAAAGCCACCACATCCTCCAGTGGTGTGTTGCACTTTTGAGGTCTGACAAGTGTCTGACATCTTATTGCCTCAAGAGAAAAATCACTTACTGTAATCATTGCTGAGCTAAGTAAGCAGACATACAAGACTGCTGAAGCTCTCAGGAAGCTTTTCTGCTCATCTGTTCTGGTTGTGGAAGTCTGGGACATCAAACCTCACACACTAGAAAGATCTGCTTTCGGCCCACCTTTAGCATACACCTTAGCTTTGTATGGATGATACGCTCATTGGCAAAGGAGAAACGGAGGAGGCGTTTGTGCTGCTGGCCAAACCTCAGTGCAAACAAGGAAGGAGAGCCTCTGTTGTCTATTCATACCGGGAGCATTATCCAAGTTAAGACAGGTTGGCCCTGCTGACTGGACATGATGACAGATTCACCTCCTGTTAGCCTGCAAACAGATAAGCCAGAGGAAATGCATCAGTAATAATTAGGATTGTTCAGTCCTGTTCTCAGTGAAAATTGCTGTAAGGGCATCCGATTTTGTTGCCTCACACATTGTGCAGAAGAGTTCTACCTTTTATCATAATGAGTCAATGATAAAGGTCACAGTGATAAGACGATAAAAAAGCTTCTTTTTTTTTTCTATGAATTTTTCAAAAATGCTTAAGGTACTTTTTAATATCTTATTGATGTACTTCTTGTCAGTGGCAGTGATATAGAACAAAACTAACCTAATTTCTAAATGTCCTCACCTACTAAATAACATTCTCTGCTGTGTTGGACTGTGCCACAGCAGTAATAAATAAATTCATTTGTTTAGCTGCCACAAGTTGCAGAGGACAGTGTACACCTTAACCCTTTCATTTTTATATGATTTAAAGAATGTACCTCAATATGTATATTATCTTGTCCAATAAAAACCCTTTTGAGTTGTTGATATTTAAACTTTTCAGGTTTTAAATCCAATGAGGTAAATAGAACTGAACCAACACCTATCCGTTCAAGCTTTCCTATTCTTACTCCCTCTCCAGGCAGGCACTAAAAGAGGAGGTGAAGAGGGAGCTGTCACCATCGGGGAAGCACTATCTGTCCAAGCTTCCTGTAACATCATCCTCCAGGCTGCGATCGGGGTCAGGCCAACAGAGATGGGTAAGGATCAGCGGCAGCAGAGAGAGGAGGAAGTGGAGTGTGCTTGAAACAATGTGTAGGATTGTGGCTCTAAACCCCACAGCCCCCCTCTTTGGATTTAGCACACTGCTGTGGTAACTTGATATGAACTCAGACAATAATCACAGCCACCAGCAAAGCAGCCCAGTGAACAGAGAAGTTGTAGAATTTCTATATTTGTCTTTCGTCTAAACAACCCAAGAAGTACGTTAGTTTTAAGTTCCTGTTCAGCTCAGTGGTATCCCTATAAGATATCATTGTTTAGATTTTGATTTCATCCTAGAAAAGCATTTCCAGATGGGTTTTATTTTTTTTTTTATGCCCATGTTTGTTTGTTTTTTACTTTTTTACTGATAATATATGGACTGCCTTGGACCAAGTCTGAGATTTAACATCATATAAAAAGGATGTTTAATTTATCTAGACGAGTTGATCAAAACTAAATGGAGTCCAAATCAGCAATGAAAACTTCATATGATTTTTTTTTTTCAATTATATAATGTATCTTTCCACATGAAAGGCTGATTGTACTTTTTTCTTAAAGTAAAAAAAAAAAAAAAATCCCATTTTGACTTTTGTGATTGCTGAGTGTTTGTAATTGTGTTTTTGATATAATGTATCTGGAGAAGAAAAAACTTGAACATTTGTGTTTGTTTTAAATTCACCATATTTTGCTCTGTACACCTGCACTATTTACATGTACAGTAATGTATATATATATTCTATTGAGTACAAAATGTTGGATGTAATGTAATTTTACAGTGCTTTTGATTAAACTAAGGACTCCATCTGTTTGATTGCATTTGTTGTGTTTCTTGTTAATTTCAGATACTTCTAAACATTTCATATAGTTTGAGATGTTGGAAGAATTTGTCTTGTCAATAAATGTAACTTATGTTGCACAGATATTAGCCTGGGTACCATTCCAAACTTAGTCCCGCCCACAACATTTGAGGACAGGAAGTTCGGTCTGGCATTGCTCCATAGTAGCGCGAGTATGCTCGCACAATATCTGGCGATCCAATCAAATTGTCAGGGCGGGCTTTATACGATGATGGACAGATGATCAACAGTAACGTAATCAACCACGTGACCAAAGCACGCATGGGAGACAACAACAATGGCTGCCGCTGGAGAGCTGAAGTGAGTAGATTCTGCTATTAGGTCTGTTCTAGAAGATATCGACAGCAAATTAATTTTAAAAGAGGAACAGAAAAACGCGATCAAGGCTCATCTTCTTATTCTAGGCGTGCAACTGCACGCTTTGATTTTTGTTGACAACAACTGTGCCTGGCTTAACATACGTCACGCACTCCGTTGCTCTTATTGGTTGTAGGTCTATCCAATTGAGTGCAGAGGCATTGTTTTTCCTGGTTCGTTCGAAACACGCCCCATAATCACAGCTCTATGGAGCAGTATCAGACTCATATTCTGACTAGAATTGAGTCGGACTACGTCAGGCTACACAGATATTGCATTGCGCCTCAAGCCCCACTGCCATGGACTGACACTCTGGGTTCCTGAGCAAGACCTTTAACGCCACACCGCTCCCGGGGCGCCGCACATTGGCCGCCCTCTTCTCCCCTAGTAGATGGGTTAAATGCAGAGAGTTCATTTTGTTGCTCTGTACTTGTGACAGTGTAATGACAATAAAAGCTGATAGAATAAAACATATAGTGCTTAAAGAAATACTTTTTTTTTTAAAAGCCACTTTCACACAGATAGATTTGGAAAAACCTCTGCGGAATAGCATGTATTTGATATGGGTTATATATTTCTTCCTCTTTTTGGACAAAGAGCATAGAAATTACACATTTTCCATAGAGGAGTGCATCTTCTGTCCATCATAACAGCCATGTTAAACTCTCATCTAAGGAAACGTATTCATTATTATTAGCTCTAAAAGGCTTGTTAGTCATTACAGTCGGATGCCCTATCCTCTGTCTTCAACACTGCCAGATTCTTCCTTTTATATGTTGCACTGGTGGCCTAACATTAGGGGTTGTTAATGGTTTTGTATCATTTGAAATTCAATTCAAAAATACTTTTTGATCCCAAAAGGAAATTACATGTTAAAATAAAGCCGGATGGCTCATTTGTCATTTGGTAATAGTCATAGGAAGGATCATCTCGAGCAGTCTGCCTCGCCCTGGAGCGTGAGAAGCTTTTTACTCTTTATACTTTTTTGTTGTTTAAAAATCTTCTGAAGAGAATGCTCACTGTTGTCTATAATCTTCTTAACTTTATAAATAATCCTTTGCGAAATAGGAGTTCCTAGAACAGCGCTGGCCTTTATTAGCTTGTTGAGTTTGTTAAGTAATTTGCTCTGATGCCTCAACAAATGATGGAGGAAGAGATCCCACTCTGATCACCGAATGATAGAAGATCTGCAGCATCTTGTTGCAAACGCCAAAGGAAAGAAGCCTAGGAAATACATTCTGATCTGTTCCTTATTGCTGATGGCTTCACAGCTGTCTCCAGTTAAGTTTGTGTCCAGTTGAACACCAAAGTATTTATACTCCTCCACCGCCTCCACTTCTTTCCCATCATGTTGATATTCAACATATTCCTGTTTCTCCTAAAATCTACAATTGTCTCCCTCTTTTTGTTGAGTTTTTTGAGGGGTCCCGATTGGCGAATTTAGCTCTGGGAATAGGTGATAGCCCAACAGTTTTAGCTTTACAGGCTGACTATTGACATTGTTTGTTCTGCTTGATACTTTTATATGAAACTTTTATGAAAATTAGGGCTGAAACAATTAATCGCATGACTCGTAATTAATCGATTATTGAAATAATTGTCAACTAATTTAGTAATCGATTATTCGTTAACTGGAGTATAGAGACTTTAAAACATGCTTTTAGCTGACAGAGCAACCCACTTAGAGCAGTAATTATGCCAACATTTAAAAAAAATATATATATAAACATTTCGCATTTAAGATTTTAAAAAATTCATCTGTCAATATGCTTTATCCAGAAATTCCTCAAGTGAGAAAGTTTTAGTTTCACCTGGTTTAATTTGTAAAACATTCTTCTTTAAGGAAGCTTTGGCTATTCGATTATTAATTGGTTATTGAATTAAAATTATTGAAGTATTGAACTGAAAAAATAAACAACAGATTAATCAATTTGCAAAACAATCATTAGTTGCAGTGCTAATGAAGATTTTTTAGGGAGTGAAATTGTATGCAAGGAGATGGAAAGGGAGAGGTCGAAGTAAGAGGGGATAAGTGGAGACAGAAAAAGATAGAGACAGAAAAGAGTGCATGAAAATAGAAAATAATACAAAACTTATGGTGATTACACAATATTATTCAGGGTGGTATGTACAGTAGTAGCCATTAAAAAATTCCCCACTTTCCTTTATGGGCCCTTGGTTGGTCCTCTACAATTTCTTTTAAAACATCAAAATGTGTACTAAAATACTCTTTCTGTTATGATTTGTGGACATTAAGATCTAAAGAAAAGTGTCATCTCCTGGTCAGGCCCTGTAATTCAGTAAAAAGGGGGAGTTGGAGTGAAAAATTATGCAAGAGGGGGTCCCTCCAGTGGCTGGCAGTTGGAGGGGATTTCACTGGGAGTTGCAGGGGAAGTGGGCTACCATTCAGCTGCCATTTGACTGGGAAGGGCCATTTTAAATGGCTGCTACTCTATCTGCAGCGGCAGCTTAGAATTTAGTATTGGTGTCTATCTGTGAACAACTGGAACCAAACTCCTGTGGTATGTAGGCATGTGCATGCTCGTGTATAAAGGATTTACAGGTATGAGTGGCCCCAGATTGCCCAGGAACGATAAAGAGGCTATGTGGGCCCCTGATACGTATCCAAAGACCTCCTCTAAGCGAGAGTGTTCTTTTTTTTTTTTAAGCTTGTTAATGATAGCATCTTTTAATCCAACTCCACAGTGATTAGCAAACTGGAGGGGGTCCTGATAGCTGCTTGTTTGCTTGCGCAGGTGAACCAACAGGAGTCTCATGATCAGTGGTTATAATGTTTCTCAGATGTCGCAACACTTGAGATCAAATAGTGAGGAAACACTTCAGTGTAGTCATAGATTGCTAAGTTTGAGTGGAAGCAAAGTAAGGTGATTAGGTACATGTATCCTTATAAGGGGGAGGTAACAGATCGGACGCACTCTTAATGGGGTTTTTATCTTACCTTTTCAATCTTTTTCCTTAGGTGTGTTTGATGGACCCCTTTTTAATGACTTAGATTACCCGCCTTTATGTGATAACCTTTATGATCAATACACTGTGCCCATTTTATGGGAGATTAAAGCTAGACAAGTATTACAAAGGCCAGGTAGCATTCCAGGACTGACTTCTACTCCTAACAATGACATAGCAATCATTTGTTCTGTAAAATGTTTATTTTTTCTAAAATCCTATTTAAGCAATGGCTCTTAAAGTATCTCAATTTCGAGATTGATATGGAAATGCTCAGATGCTAGTTTAAACCTTTCAGCTTGACATGAAACATTTATTTTTGAGTCTTGTTAGCCACACATGGTGAGTAAATGGTTTTAGGAAATTGCATTGTCACAGGAAGAAAGCTGCAGCTGAGGTCTTTTCATGCTCTGGAAGCTTCTGGGATATTTTTTTGGTTCTTCTCGTGTATTTGATAGAAAGATAAACATGTTCCCCAAACATGTTGCAGTTGCAGTTACAGTTCTGTTCTTTTTTTGTTTTTAATCTTTTTTTAATCATAACTTTTACCACGTACATTCCAACCAAATCACCAAGGTCTGCTGAACAGTATCTTCTTGTTCCAAATCCATGTCAAAACTTAGAAAGACGTATATATATATTTATATTTTGGCTGTGAAACTTTGAAATTAACTGTATCCTATTATTCTATTATTCATCTCCTGCATAAAAATAATCTAGCCTGTTAAAGCCTGGGCGTTCCCAGGCCAGCCGTGTTACCTAGTCCCTCCAGTGTGTCCTCACAGTGAGATGTGTTCATGGGGCATCCAAAAAAAAAAAAGCCAAAGCCACCTCAGCTAACTCAACCTTGGTCAGCTATTGTTTTCAAATGTCATTTGGAAATAAACTGATTTTTTTCTCTCTTTCATGTTTTCGCCCATATTATTCAGTATCAGACCAGCCTTTGTTTTAAAGTGGTTTTATTACAATTCTTTTGACATGCAGTGGCATTGTATATCACAGTCTGCAAATAGATAACGCTGCAAATGAGATAACAAAAGAAAAATAAAATGTCTAAACCCCGATAAATATGTCTGCATATGAGGTGATAAATGTGTTTGCTTTGACCAAACCCAGATAATTCTGATAAAGCCAATTGCATCTACTGGTGTTGCTCAAAGTTTCTAAATGCCCTATTTTTATTCTATTTCAATTCAGTTTATTCATATAGTGCCAATTCACAACAAATGTCATCTCAAGGCAGTTTACAGAGAAAATTCAACCAATTAATACAGTCAAACTGATTCAAAGTTTTCTATCTAAGGAAAACCAGCTGAATGCCTCGACTCATTGACTTAAAGGCAATCCCTCACAC